AAAAAAAAAAAAAAAAAAAAAAAAAAAAAAAAAAAAAAAAGTAAAAGTAGTGAGTAAAACATTAAAAAGCATGATAAGATTAGTCGTTTTCTGGTATATAGGACAGCAGATACAAAAAGAGTTTGTACGAGTACCTAGGAGATACACCCGTGTCATTTTTTGCAGTAGTGCAATGCTGAGAGATTTCCATATATACTTTGTCCATAGTCCATGCAGAGTTTAAACTCCTCTACATTGTTTCCATGCCAACAGTGTTGCCAAGTGACAACCAGCTGACAGGTTTCCAATGTCGCCATGCGTGGAGGGGCCCCCGAGCACACAAGACGGGAAGATTCGAAGTTCTCCGGCTCCCAGGGGCCTCCACAGGCATCTGGTTGTATGACCATTCCGTCACTCCAAAACACCATGACAGCAAAAGAAAGGGACATGGGACAAGAGCCTATGCAGTTTACATGCAGTTCCTTTTGACAGCAGAGGGGGCAGGGACGAAGGGGGCCTATTAAGATTTTACAGATAAATTACACAAAGAAAAAAAGGCAAATTATTTATATACGAAATCTGTACAAGGCCTTCACTTCGCCGTCATCATTTGTACGAACTCTGCAGGGGCGAGAAAAGAAAAATGTTGTGACTCAGTACCCGAAGAGTGACCCAAACCAACTCAAAATATGGAGCAAACATCTACTAACCTTCATAGTTGACCTGTCCATCTCCATCAATGTCTGCTTCTCTGATCATCTCGTCCACCTCTTCGTCAGTCAGTTTCTCGCCAAGGTTCGTCATCACATGGCGCAGCTCAGCAGCACTGATGTATCCATTGCCATCCTGAAAATGACAGTAAATACATTAAAATAATAATAAAAAAATAAAACCACGTGGGAGTGCAGACAGCATTTACCTTGTCAAAGACACGGAATGCTTCTCTGATCTCCTCCTCGCTGTCTGTGTCCTTCATCTTCCTGGCCATCATGGTCAGGAACTCTGGGAAGTCTATCGTTCCATTTCCTGCAGACAAAAAAAAACAAAAAAAAACAAAAAAAACACTGATGTAGAATTTCTATCTATACCATCAATACCATGTGTGGTTAGCAATTTTTTTTTTTTTTAAGGCCGACCAGGTTCTCACCATCAGCATCCACTTCATTGATCATGTCCTGCAGCTCTGCCTCTGTGGGGTTCTGGCCCAGAGAGCGCATGACTGTGCCCAGCTCCTTGGTGGTGATGGTGCCATCTCCATCCTTGTCAAAGAGCGAAAATGCCTCCTTGAACTCTGATTTTTTTTTTTTTTTTTTTTAAATAAAAAAAGTAGAGGGGCTTCTTCAGTTAGGCAGAGGTGATGCACCTATAGCTAAATAAACAGACTGGCATAACAGTGGCAATAAAAAAACAAAAATAAAAAATAAAAAAACACTGCAGAAGGCTGAATCTATGACAACATGCATAGATTAAAAAGCCATGTAAATGCTGTCAGCCCAAATTGCATAACAAACTTCTCTTTTCCTTAAGTCTGCAAATCACAGACCCAAACCATGAATTTGGCTCAAGACTCAAAGGGCATTACATCACATTTGTTTCAGTTATAAACTAACTACAGCATGCTGACGAGCCCTTCTGTTTTGAGTTCCAACTGCAGTCGTTTTTGGCTAAACAAGGGCAGCGACCATGAGACCGTGCAGTCAGGCTACATCCTGTGTGGTTTGGTGGATCCGTGAGGGACGAGCAACAATGACACTCATCAAGAGTGATGAGGCAATGGGTAGAATCATGCGGCAGCTCATCAGCATCATAAAACTACAAGCTGCCCTACCACACAGGGCAACACCCTTTTTTGTTATGAGGAAAAGCCTGCTGTCGGCATCAACTGCAGGAAATGTCGACGGGGTGAGGGGGG